CCCCCGCCAGCCCTGATTCCTACCGACCCGTTCTCCTCCTCCTGATCAGCCCTGGCCAGCACCACTGCCCCCGACCCACCCCACCAGCCCTGCTTCCCGCCGGCTGCCCCCGCCCTGATCTCCCCAGCCAGCCCCTCTGCCCTCGACCCCCTCCCACACCAGCCCTGCTTCCGCCCCGCCCAACCCCACTCCCATCCTGGCCAGTCCCTACCCCACCCCCATCAAGTGTGTCCGGTATTTTTTTGAAGCTACCTGGTAACCCTACCATACCAAGGCAGGGGGGATGGATTCGGTGGGGGGCACCAGGATGAGGATCGGAAAGGGGCCAGACTGGGGGAGGGGAAGCTGGCAGGGCCAGGATTGATGGCTGAATTTCCCTGCCCGGGAATGGGGCCTGGCCACAGCAAACCCCCTGGATCCAAGGAAAGGTGCCTCCCCTTGGGGCCCTGGGCAGGAGCCCGGCTGTGCTGGGGTGCAGGGCACGGTTACTGGGTTTTTCTCTCCAGGGGACCCCGCTCCCAGGCACAGGCCTGGCTCCCGCCCCTGGCAGCCCCCCAAGCAGCACAGGACGCGTTGGCTAGAAAGACGTTTAATGCACCCCACAGGGTGAGCGACTTCACATGGACATGTGTGGGCTGGAGGGAGGCAGCGCAAGATGTCAGACCTCGGGCGTGTCTCAGCTCGCTGCATGAGGTCCGCACCCCAGCCTGGCATCGCTGGCTGCAGGAGAGGGGGGGGAGGGCTGGAGGATGAGGGGGGGCAATGGGGCCCAAGCAGGAGGGGGAAATGTGATGACCCAGGCGGGTTCTGCATGGCACTCTGCCCCTGCTGGGTGACCTGGGCCATAGCTACAAGCTTGCTTGGGCCTGTTGCTAACAGAGGGGAAGAGGCATTAGCTCAGCTGCAGAGGCCTGTGCTTTTAGCTGGAGGCTCCTGTTGGGTTTAATTTCTCCTCCCAGGTGCCTGTGTGGGACAAGGGGGCCCTGGCCCTGTACCCCCAGAATGAATAAATTCACAGCTCTTGTCTTATCCTGATGGAGGCACCAAGCAGATCCAGGCTCACTGGGTTCTGGATCTGAAGGGTCCCCTTTTGCCAGGTAGCCCCGAGACATGCCCCTGTCTGAAGGTAGGAGTTGGGCTGACAGGAGCTCTGTGCATCTCTAGGGCACCGCTCTTACTCCACTCCTGCTCGGGGGAGTGGGGAGGGGCACAGGTGGCTCTGAGTCCCTCGCAGGAGGTGCTGGTGGGCAGCCACTGGACATCTTGCTGGGAGCAACTGACGGGGAGGGGTGGAAGAGGTCAGAATTAAAGAACCACATGCCCAAGGGATCAGAATTAAAGCCAGGGGGCTTGGTTCTCTTTGGGGTGTCCTGCACCCATGGAATGATAGAGTGAGCTGTACCTGTCCCCTGGTGTGTGTGGGGAGAAGGGGATCCCCAGGACAGCCCCATGGCCTCAATTCTTACCCCCCCTTGGGTGTTCCTGCAGCTTCTGTGTCCCAACCTCGTGTCCTAAGAGGAGTCCGGGCCTGCTTTCTGTAGGTCAGGATGGTCAGACTGCAGGCGCCCAAGGAGGCAAAGCTAGGGGGGCAGAGGTACCCTCAATGCTGGGTCTCTGGCAGTTGTGAGCAGAAGGCCACTGCATTAAAGCACCATGACCTTGGAGCCACCACTAACGTCAGGATTGCCGAACCCAGAAAGGCCCAAAGGGGCAGCAGGCCTTTGCCGCAGTGTCTGCTGGCCCTGGGGGTTGGCAGCTGCAGCCATGGCAGTGTTTGTATTGCCCTGCCTAGGGCCAGATGTTCTGGGAGCTTCACAGGCCCCGATCTGCAGGGAACTGGGCCGGTTTGCACCTACTGAGAACCTGTCCCCACAGGAGCCTGACTAGGCTGGGCAAACAGGGCCCTGGCACTGGTCTGACTTCCCTGGTAGCTCACATCTTGCACCTATTTACACAAGGCCTTGCACTAGTGAACTTGTATTGTGCACATTCCCCCTCCATGAAGCCAGAGCCCGTCAGGGGAGCCAGCAACCCCTCGGTTGGTGGCTGGAGCTGTGCAAGAGCAAGGGTTGGGCCATGCAGGGAGAGTAAAGTGGGCAGGTCTAGGCAGGGAAAGACACTTCAGGCGTGTGTCCCGGGCTCTTCCCCAGCTCCTCTGTGAGGGCTGAGGCAAGGGTGGAGGTCTTGGGGTGGCTGCAGCTTGTGCAGAGGTTGGAGCCGAAGATGAGGTAGATGTAGGGGTTGATGCTAGTGTTGAGGTTGATCAGGTAGCCGGTGTAGATAAGGAAGGGGATGAGGCGACTGTAGAGCTCCTGGTTCTCCAAGGCGACCAGGAAGAGCAGCTGGGTGATCTGGAACGGGAGGTTGAGCAGCACGTAGACGGTCAGGGTGGCAGCCACAATGCGGTAGAACTGGCTGGGGGCCCGGGTGTGGCGCCGCAAGGTGCGGGCCAAGGTGACAGCGTGGGTGGTCACCATGACAACAAAGGGGAAGAATCCCTCCAGCAGCACCTCCAGCAAGCGCAGGGGCCACTCGTACTTCCCCCGGTTGATCTGACAGGCGAGCACCCCGTCCTCAGTCAGGACGAGTTTGGGGAAGACAAAGCCTTTGATGCTGAGCAGGGAAGCCGCCACCCAGGTGCCCAGGCAGATGTAGGTGGAGAGCCGCAGGGGGCGATGGCAGTGGTACCACAGGGGCAGCAGCACCAGCAGGCAGCGGTCCACGCTGAGGGCAGCCAGCAGGAAGAGGCTGCAGTGGTAGCTTAAATCCAAGAGGAAGTGGCGCAGGCGGCACATGAAGGCACCCAGCACCCAGTTGTCACCCTGCAGGGTCTCCATGATCTGCATGACCATGACGCAGAGGAAGAGGAAGTCGGAGCTGGCCAGGCTCAGGATGAAGACGGACAGGCCCCGGCACCGCAGCCGCCACCCTGTCAGCCAGATAATGAAGCCGTTGGCCGGCAGCCCGATGAGCAGTATGATGATCAGGAAGGCTCCCCGCCATGTTGCTGATGGGTCAGGTGCCGTCCCGTTGAAGGAAGAAAGTGAGGTGTTAAGTGACTCCATTTGCCCCTCCCAACAGCGTCAGGCGAGCCGGCCTGCCAATGGAAAGGACATGGAAGAAATCAGGGGAGGGTTTCTCATGAACACCATACTCCAGGCCAGCTTCTTCTCCTCCAGGGGAAGTATGGCCTAGTGGTTAGAGCCTGAGGTGGTGACCAAGCTTTGCCACTGTTCTAGGCAACCTTCAACTGTAGTAAGTGAGTCTCCCTCCCTTTGCTGTCTGTGTATCAGAGGCAGCAAGGGGGGGGACGCAAGAGCTGGTGTTGGGAGGAGCCAGCTTAAAAGCCAGTTCCCCCCAGTACTGTCTCCGTGGTGCAGCCTGCCCCCCCCCCATGTTGCTGCCTCTATCAGAGAGGATATAAGGGGGGCAGAAGAGGCGTTCATGAAGTAGCCCTTGCCCCCTGGAATCCCTACAGCAGGCCCTCAGCCGCAGTAGCCTCCTCCACTCTCTGACCCCCCCAGTAGTCTCTGTCCACAGGTAGCTTGGACAGAGGCTGTTGCCACCCTGCTGTTCTGTCTGTGTATCAGAGGTAGCAGAGAGAGGTGGCAGGGGACTCCCCGGGACAGGGGCTGGAGCGCACTTGCTGCTGGCTCGCCCCCAGGGACTATAGAATAGTCCACTAACCCCTAAGAATTCACGTGGTTAGTCGACTATTCTATTACCCGCTAGCTAACATCCCTACCCTGAACAAATACATTTCTCCTCTTGCCTCTGTTTCCCTTTCTCACACTGGGTCTATATTGTTACCTAACGTTTTACACAACATCCATCCACCTCGCAGCTCTTTGCAGGTGGGCCAGTCTATCCCAGGCTCTGAGTGCTACCAATAGAAATCACAATCTGGCCTCCAGGTGGGATTTGCCCCAATGGTTATCAGGGAGAGGCTGGCACATGCCCTGAGAAGGGAGGGGTTGGGGGTGGAGGAGGTCAGGACTCCTGGGTCCTATTCCTGGCTGTCATGGATCCTGTGTTGCTTTGCAACAGCCCCACCTTTGGGCTCTGACACCTGTGGGATTAGCTGGTTTTTCAGCCACTTTGGGTCCGTACAGGATGCTGGTCAGTATTGGGAATGAGCATTGCCCTTGCCGGTGGCATTGTGCTAGCACCCCAGCGAAGAGCTGCACCCGCGGAACAAGTCGCTGCACAGCTGGACACCCCCTGCCCTTAAACATGCTCAATCGAAACAACCCAGATAGACACGGTTTGAGAGGGGAAACTGAGTCACAGAGCAGTGGGAAACGACTTACCTGAGACCACCCACCGATCTGGCGGCCGAGATTTGAATGGAGCCCTGCTAGGCCGAGTCCCACTCTACTGGGCTGCGCTGCCACCCCCACAACCCTCTGGGTATGGTACTCGCAGTTAGTCAAGCAGGGGCCAGCTGCTCACAGTGCTCATGTCTGCACCAAACACTCCTTGGCCAGCAGAGGTCGCCCTGTCCTAGGGAGGCGGATCTTAGTGCAGGCAGCGGGGACCCAGCCATCTGAGCCTGGCTTATCTTGGCTGGGAGCCTGTTTGAAAAGGTTCCAGCTGAAGCGCAGCTGCCTGGCTCTCCAGCCACAGGGATTGCTGTGAATGCATCAGCCTCGTTTCCCCAGGACACAGAGCCCCCGGGAGCTCAGCGAGATGCCCCCCCGGACAGTCTCCTCTGGGACAAGGGCACTGGGAGTGGGTCCTGTGGAACCCCCTGATCATCTTGGTCCTTACTGTGTGCACAGCCTCCTTTGATACTCTTCTGGGTGTCCCTCCAAGCTCAGACCCACCCGTTCCTGCCCGTTCCGGAGCGGATCGAGCTGTTTCTCCCCAAGATTGTGACGGATCTGTTATGGTCAGAGCCCCTCAGGCGGGTCCTGTATGCCAGCGGTGAGCTTTTTAGCCCTCCTCTTTAGTGGGCGTGGGGTCTTTTCCCAGCCTGTGATGGGGAGAGGAGCCTAATCTGGGCTGATCCTGGCCTCCTGCCATGGCTGCTTGCCATCAGGTACGATTCCCTCTTTCTCATTCGGATCACAATGTGCTTCGTGAGCTGAGCCTGGGCAGACTGCCCCCAAACGAGTGGCTTGGAAGCACTGGGGCTGAGGAGCATGGGGAAGGGAAGAAGAGGCCACATGGGGGAAGAACCCCCAGAGTGCAGAGACAGCCTGGGGCATTTGCCATGGAGTTCTACGCAGGAAGCTCCAGGTTGGCTACCGGGGGGCAATGTTCCCTCTAATTATTTCCCTCCATGTGTGGAATACATTTTATTATGCACACTTTGGCATGTGCTGATGTGCACCACCAATAGAAACACAACACTGTGAGTGGCTCGGCTCTGCTAATCAGCTGGGTGTCACGTGTATCTCTCTTGGGTGGTCCCCCTTATGCTAAGTTACCGGGAACACTGCCAGGGGTGTCTGTGTCAGACTGGACAATCTAAACATCCCTTCTGTTCCTTTCTGTCCCTGGATGCATAAGACCATGGGGGCCGAGAGCCTGCAGTCCAGCTAGGTGTCTGCCCCCTCCTTAGCTAACTGCCACAGACACCATTTGTTGCACAGAAATACCAGTGCTAAGGTAGTGGGTGCGATCATGGCAGGCTAAAGGCTGTTGCCTAGGCTGCAGGAGTTAGATAAGTGCTGCAACCTAGTAGCTGGAGCCCTGACCACGCCTGTATGGAAGTTTGGTCCAAACAGGGATTAGTTTTTGAGTGTTTAGACTCTGGGAAATGTTTGTGAGTTTCTGCCTGCATTCATCTGGCTTGCTACGGCAGCATTCCATGCTAGAGGGAACAACGTACATTTTACTTTATACCTTTGAAAAGGGTCACACGCTTTGCTGTGAATGCATCAAAGTAGTTTCCCCAGGATACAGAGCCCCTGGGACCTCAGAGAGAGATGCCCACCCAGACAGGCTCCTCTGGGACAAAGGCACTGGGAGTGGGTCCTGTGGAACGCCCTGATCATCTTGGTCCTTACTGTGTGCACAGCCTCCTTTGATACTCTTCTGCGTGCCCCTCCAAGCTCAGACCGACCCGTTCCTGCCCGTCCCGGGGGGGATCGAGCTGTTTCTCCCCAAGATTGCGGCGGATCGGTTCTGGTCTGAGTTTTTAGCCCTCCTCTCCAGCGGTCGTGGGGTCCTTGCCCAGCCTGTGATGGGGAGAGGAGGCTAATCTGGGCTGATCCTGGCCTCCTGCCATGGCTGCTTGCCATCTGCTACGATTCCCTGTTTCTCATTTGGATCAGAATGTGCTTCGTGAGCTGAGTCTGGGCAGGCTGCCCCCGAACAAGTGGCTTGGAAGCACTGGGGCTGGGGACCATGGGGAGCGGAAGAAGAGGCCAGTTGGGGGAAGAACCCCCAGAGTGCAGAGACAGCCTGGGGCATTTGCCATGGAGTTCTACGCAGGAAGCTCCAGGTTGGCTACTGGTAGGCAATGTTCCCTCTAATTATTTCCCTCCATGTGTGGAATACATTTTATTATGCACACTTTGGCATGTGCTGATGTGCACCACCAAAAGAAACACAACACTGTGAGTGGCTTGGGTCTGCTAATCAGCTGGGTGTCACGTGTATCTCTCTTGGGTGGTCACCCTAATGCTCAGTTACAGGGAACACTGCCAAGGGTGTCTGTGTCAGACTGGACTATCTAAAAACCCCTTCTGTTTCTTTCTGTCCATGGATGCATGAGACCATGGGGACCCAGTGCCTGAAGCCTTGCTAGGTGTTTGTTTTCTCCTTAGCTAACTGCCACAGACACTGATTGTCACACAGAAATGCCAGTGCTAAGGTAACGGGTGCGACCGTGGCAGGCTAAATGCCAGCTCTTGTGTAGGCTGCAGGAGTTAGCTAAGTGCTGCAACTTAGTAGCTGGAGCCCTCCTCTGAGACGGGACGTCCCTGGGATCCGCCCTTTGGCACCCTCCCTACTGGGTCTTGTCCTCTCAGTGCTGCAGTCCTCCCACTGCACGCACAGGAGACCTCACTCAGCACAGGGAGCAGGGCAGTCCCAGTGGGGGAAACTGAGGCACGGTGAGCACTGCCCTGCTCCCTGTGCTGAGTGAGGTCTCCTGTGCGTGCAGGGGGAGGACTGCAGCACTGAGAGGACAAGCCCCAGTGGGGAGGGTGCCAAAGGGCGGCTCCCAGGGACGTCCCTTCTCAGAGGAGGACTCCCTTCCTAAGCCAGAGCTTCCCCTCCTCCCCCACTTGCCTCCCTCCCTCCAGCCACCGTCCCTTCCCTGAGGACGGTTGCTGGGTCCACTCTCCCCGCACCTGTTCTCAGCCCGTCCTGTTTCCCCCGCAGAGGGGGTGGGGAGGCTCTGAGGGGGAGGGCAGCTGCTGCGTCTGTTCTGCTGCTCGCAGGGCACCCGCCCTGGCACTGAGGCAGGGTTCAAGGCTACCCAGAGCCTGCGAGCCCTTCAGGCAGCACCGGAGCAGATGGGGGCACCTAGTCCCTGCTGCCTGGCACGTCAGCCTCTGTCTGGGAGCAGGGCCCTGACATGGGCTCCCAGGCACAGGGACCCCTTCCTGCCATCCCATTAGCTGTGGGGCTGTCAGGATGCAGCTGCCCACCACCCCCAGCTCAGAGAACTTTCCCCATCAGAGCCGAGCCATGGAAAGGTCGTGGGGTTCATGTTCCCCAGCACCTCCCCGATACCCTTTCAGGAACTGAGACCTTAGTTCCCCCTCCCTTGGAACGGGGGTCAGCTCAGAAGAGAGTCTACTCGGGAGGGCGGCTCCTATCCAACCCTGCACCCATGCCAGCCGGCCATTTTTCCACCTGGGCCCCCTTCCAGGCCCTGTAACTGCCCCCAGAGAGCGGTGATCTCCCCCGGTGGGTACTCTCAGGACCAGAAGGGGTAGGGATGGGGAGCAGGGAGAGAGTCTTTGTCCAGAGTCAGAGTGGGGAGCGGTGATTTATATCCGTGGTGAGGGAGGAAGCAGATGTGTCGGGGGGGGGGTGAGGTGGGGGTGGAGGCATGTGGTGTAAGTAGG